GCCCACATGATCATCTCAGTTGAAACATAATTTGACAGAATCCAAAATACTTTCATGATTCAAAACAAAACAAAACCCAACACTGAACAAACTAGGAATAGAAGAGAATCCATGCAACCTGACAAAGGTCATCTATGAAAAATGTACAGATAACATCACAGTCAATGTCAAAAGGCTTTCCCGCTAATATCAGGGATAAAGAAGTATATCCACGCTCATCATGTCTATTCAACATTGTATGAATGTTGTAGCCATGGGTACTTGGCTGGCTTAGCCAGTGGAACACACGACTCTTGATTTCAGGGTGGTGAGTTTGAGCCCCACTTTGGAGTAGAGATTAATAATTTAAAAAAAAAGTTGTAGCTAAGACTGTTAGTCAATAAAAAGGAATAAAGGCATTGAGATTGGAAAGCAAGAAGTAAAACTATTTCTCCTTCCTTCTTTCCTTCCTCCCTTCCTTCTTTCTTCCTTTCTTTTTTTTGCTGCAAAAAGCTTTACCATTTCCATTAGGTCCACAGCTTAAAAAGCTGCCTAACAGCTACAGGGAGAAACTCAGGCATAATGTGGGCATAAAAGGGATGCCATCTAGGAAATGTTTTTCTAGGAAGAAGTAAAACTTTTTATTCACAGATGATATGATATTGTACATAGGAAATCCTAAGGAATCCAGAAAATATTATTATTAATAAGCGAGCTTAGAAAGTTGTAGGATATCAGATCAATATACAAAAATCAATTGTATTTATATACATCTGCAATGAAAATATAAAAATGAACTTAAGGGGCACCTGGGTGGCTCAGACGGGTGAGTGTCCAACTGATGTTACAGTATCACAGTTTGTGGGTTCAAGCCCACATCAGGCTCTGCACCATCAGCTTGAGATTCTCTCTTTCTTCCTTTCTCTCTGCCCCTCCCCTGCTTGCTCTCTCTCTCAAAATAAATAAATACACTGGCTCAAGTCAGAAAAGCATGTGACTCTTTTTCTTTTTTAAATGTTTATTTATTTTGAGGGGGGAGGGGCAGAGAGAGAACCACAAGCAGGCTCTGCACTGTCAGCGAGGAGCCCAATGTGGGGCTCCATCTCACTAACCGTGAGATCACGACCTGAGCCAAAATCAAGAGTAGGATGCTTAACCAACTGAGCCACCCAGGCACCCTGGAAAACCATGTGACTCTTAATCTTGGGGTCGTGAGTTCGAGCCCTACACTGGGTGAAGGGAAGAGGTTACTTAAATAAATAAAACTTTAAAAAAAAAGAATATAAATGAGGCGCCTGGGTGGCTTGGTCGGTTAAGCGTCCGACTTTTGCTTAGGTCATGATCTCGTGGTTCGTGGGTTCGAGCCCCGCGTCGGGCTCTGTGCTGACCACCAGCTTAGAGCCTGGAGCCTATTTCAGAGTCTGTGTCTCCCTCTCTCTCTGACCCTCCCCTACTCACGCTGTCTCTCTCTCTCTCTCTCCTAGAAATAAATAAAAATATTAAAAAAAATAAATAAATAAAAATTAAAAAATAAAAAAAGAATATAAATCCATTCACAGTAGCATAAAAAAGAATAAATACATAGAAGTGAATTTAACAAAATAAAAGACCTGTATATTGAAAACTGTAAAACATCATTGAAAGCAATTTAAAAACTAAATAAATGGAAAGAAAGCCCATGTTCATCAATAAGGAGGCTTAATGTGGTTAAGAGGGCATTACTCCCCAAACTGATCTACAGATTTAACTCAATCCGTCTCTAAGTCCCAGCTGGCTTTTTTGGAGAAATGGACAATCTGATCCTAAAATCCATACGGACACACAAGAGACCCATAACAGTCAAAACAATCTTGAAAATGAACAAAATTAGAGGACTCACACTTTTTGAGTATAAAACTTCCTACAAAGCTACAGTAATCAAGACAGTGTAATAGCATAAAGATAGGTATATAGGTCAATGAAATAGAACTGAGAGTCCACATTTTTGACAAACTGAATTGTGCCAAGACAATTCAATGGGGGAAAGAAAAGTGTTTTCAATATATGGTGCTGGGGTACAACTGGATATTCATATGCAAAAAACTATAGTTGGACACCCTCCTTTTATACTCTTATACAAAAATTAAACTCACAATGGACCAAAGACCTAAATGTAAGAGTTAAAACTATAGAAATCCTTTATTTAAAAAAAAATTTTTAGAGTTTATTTTTTTATTTTGAGAAAGAGAGTGCAAGTGGGGAAGGGGCAGAGAAAGACAGGAAGAGAATCTCAAGCAGGCTCCATGCCACCAGTGCAGAGCCAGATGCGGGGCTCAAAGTCACAAACCGCAAGATCACGACGGGAGCCAAAGTTGGACACTTAACAGACTGAGCTACCCAGGGACCCCAAAAACTATAGAACTCTTTAAAAAAAACAGGGAAGAGCTTTATGACATTGTATTTGGCAATGATTTCTTAGATATGACAGCAAAAGCACAGGCAACAAAAGAAAAACAAATAAACTGGACTGCATCAAAATGGGAAACTGGGCATCTAAGGACAGTTAACAGAATGAAAAGGCAACCTACAGAATGGGAGAAAAGATTTGCAAATCATATATCTGACAAGGGGTTAGTCCAGAATATATAGAGAACTAAAGAATTCCTACAGTGATAAAAAGACATATACTACAAATGGGGCACCTGGGTGGCTCAGTCAGTTGAGCATCTGACTTCGGCTCAGGTCATGAACTCACAGCTCGTGAGTTCAAGCCCCGTATCAGGCTCTGTGCTGACAGCTCAGAGTCTGGAGGCTGCTTCAGATTCTGATCTCCCTCTCTCTTTCACCCTCCCCCACTCATGCCCTGTCTGTCTCTCTCTCTCTCAAAAATAAACATTAAAAAAAATTTTTTTAAAGACACAGAATACAATTTAAAAATGGGCCAACAACTTGGACAGATATTTCTCCAAAGAAGATATACAAATGATCAACAAGCCTATGAAAAGATACTCAACATCACTCATCACCAGAGAAATGCAAATCAAAACCACAATGAGATACCACCTCACACCCACTAGGATGTCTTTTATTAAAAAACAAAAAGCCAACAGGAAATAACAAGTGTTGGTGAGGATGTGAAGAAATTAGAACCTTTGTACACTGTTGGTAGGGATGGAAACTTGTGCAACTATTACGGCAAATATTATGGCAGTTCCTTAAAAATTAAAGACAGAATTACCATGTGATCCAGCTCCTCCACGTCTGGATATATATTTAAAAGAATTGAAAGCAAGTTCCTCAAAAGATATTTGTGCGACCCTGTTCATGACAGCATTCTTCACAATAGCCAAGAGGTAGATATATCCCAGTATCTATTAGAGAATGAGTGGAGAAACAAAATGTAGCATTAACATATAATAAGCTACTATTCAATTATTAAAAAGAAATGAAATTCTGACATATGGATGAACCTTGAGGACATTATGCTAAGGGAAATAAGCCAGTGACAAAAAGACAAATACTATGTGATTCCCATTTATATGAAATATCTAGAGTAGTCAATTCATAGAGACAGAAAGTTGAATGATGGTTACCAGGGACTGGGGAGAGGAGGATATGGGGTATTGTTGCTTAACTGGAATAGGGTTGCGGTTTTACAAGAGGCAAAGTTTCAGGGTGCCTGGGTGGCTCATTTGGTTAGGTGCCCGACTTCGGTTCAGGTCATGATTTCACAGTTCGTAGATTCGAGCCCCACATCGGGCTCTGTGCTGACGGCTCAGAGCCTGAAGCCTCCTTCCAATTCTGTCTGTCTGCCTCTCTCTCTGGCCTTCTCCCACTCGTGATCTCTCTCTCTCAAATATAAGTAAAACATAAAACAATTTTTTTTTTTTAATTTCTAGGGGAGAGAGAGAGACAGCGTGAGCAGGGGAGGGTCAGAGAGAGAGGGAGTCACAGACTCTGAAACAGGCTCCAGGCTCTGAGCTGGCAGTCAGCACAGAGCCCGACGCGGGGCTCGAACCCACGAACCGCAAGATCATGACCCAAGCGAAAGTCGGACGCTTAACCGACTAAGCCACCCAGGTGCCCCTAAAACAATTTTTTTTAATTAAAAAAAAAAGAGGCAAAGTTTCTGGAGATTGAACAACATAAATACACTTAAAATTACTGAACTATACACTTAAAAATAATGAAGATATTAAGTTTTATATAATGTATATTTAACCGCATTTTAAAAAGTTTATTTATTTACTTTGGAAGAAAGAGAGAGAGAGCGGGCAGGCTGGAGAGCGGCAGAGAAAGGGAAAGACAGAATCCCAAGCAGGCTCCACACTGCCAGTGCGGAGCCCAATGTGGGGCTCGAACTACAATCCATGAGATCATGACCTGAGCTAAAATCTCGAGTCAGACACTTAACCTGCTAAGCCACCCAGGTGCCCCTACCACATTTTTTTAAAGGGCTACAAAAAAAATGCTCAATTATGTTTACAGAAATGCTAGGTGGTGAGATGTTATCATTTATCAGATTTGAGACCATTTTTCCTTGTGACCCTTGACTTCTGTACTTCAACCTCTACCTGTGTCTACCTGGCTACTCAAAAAGTAACCTGAGAGCTATCATTTAAGCTACTCAGGCAGTGCCAGGCTTTTCCATATATAATTCTCAACAATTTCCTGGAGAGTAAACTAAAGCTCAGAAAGGCTCAGTGACATTTTCCAAGGTCTGTGAGTTGACAGTGCTATCATTGGGACCCATGGCCCCATCAGAAAGCCTGGGTTTTATCCCTATTGCACCTCATGCCCCTCAAACCAGCTTCATCCTAACAAACCACGTAGGACACCTCAAAAATTCAGATCCCCCTTAAAGTGGAGCTTCTCCAGGTTTTGATGAATCTTGGATGTGTGAATCCTGTGATGAATAAATTAACAAAGAGTTGAATGAAAACAGGAATGAATACATGGACAGACTAATGAAGCCTTAAATGGGTGGGGCCTTGAATGGGTGGGGCCCGGAAGAGAGGCAAGACCAGAGGAGCCAAATGAGGAATTTACATTGTGCTAACCAGAGTTCTTAGAGTCTATCACACACTGAGGTCAGAGACCACTGGGGAAAGTCAAAGGGTCTGGAGTCGCTGCCAGCCTAAGAAGAGGCCAATCCAGACACAGCTGTGTGAGCTCCCAGCCGCAAAGGAGCCTCAGGCAAGATGTCCTAAGGTGGGGGGAGGAGGGGTGAAGGAACACTGGGGAGACTTGGCTGGATTGGGCATAGGGGAGGGGCAGATCTTTCTTTAGAAAGATCACTTGGGCTCCTATGGAGAAGGTGACTCTCAGGGGAAGAAATTGGAGGAGGGAAGGGGCTCCTGGGTGGCTCAGTCAGTTAAGTGTCCGACTTTGGCTCAGGTCATTATCTCACAGTCTGTGGGCTCAAGCCCCATGTCAGGCTCTGTGCTGACAGCTCAGAGCCTGGAGCCTGCTTCAGATTCTGTGTCTCCCTCTCTATCTGCCTCTACTCTGCTCTCTGTCTCTCAAAATAAAATAAAGACATTTAAAAAAAGTTAAAAAAATTAAAACAAGAAATTGGAGGAGGGAAGAAGACCTGATCTCAAATACAGAGCCAAGGAAAGTGAATTCCAGAAAGATTTTTGGATGGACCCTTGACCAGGGCTTTGTGGTTGATCAGCTGCACGTAGGGATGGTGGGAGAGAGGAAGGGGTCTCTGTTATCCCTTCAGGTACTTCAGTGACAGAGCCCAAAGGAACAGATCTTTTTTTCTTTTTCTTAAGTTTATTTATTTTGAGAGTGAGAGAGATGTGGGGGGCAGGTGCAGAGAGTAAGGGAGAGGGAAGAGAATTCCAAGCAGGCTGTCAGCACAGAGCCTGATGCAGGGCTTGAACCTACGAACTGTGAGATCATGACCTGAGCCAAAACCAAGAGTCAGATGCTTACCCGGCTGAGCCACCCAGGTGCCCCAGGAATAGATGGGAGTGGGCGGTAAGGGTCAGTAAGGAACTGGGAAGCAGGCCGTCACTTTTCCTGGGTGACTCCCATGATTCTAAGAGCTTGTCTATTTGGCTGCTCCAACATGAGGTATATTTATGTTGTCCCTTGGGTCCAGGGGTCTCTGAACTTGTTTTCTGAGGGGCAAGATAGGGATCTGCAGGGGTAAGTGCATTAGTCTAGAGACAGCTGAGGAGGCCAATGTCATGATGGGGTGGAAGAAGGAAATGGCTTTCAGAGAACAAGGAAGGAAAAAGTCTGAGGAAGCAAAAGTTAGAAACCACCAACCTTTCTATTTCTGTGTTATTTAACCAAATACCACCCCAAGTGTTACATCCCTTGACCCTCATGGTGATCTGGAGAATTCAGCGAGCTGGGCCACTGCCTCCTCCAGGCTAACAGGGTCTCTAAGCTGGCATGGGAACCCAGGAGACCTGGTGCCTAATGGAGCACTTGGTGGACACGGCATTAGGGCACTGGGTGACCGTGGCCCCTTTCAGGGGAGGAGGGCATACCTGAACTACTTAAACTACTTTTCTTAGGTAAAGTTGAGAGAAGATGAGGGCACAAAAATATCTCCTCCAACTTAGGAAGACTCCCCCAGAGCCAGTCCACTGACCCCAGATCTCCTCTGAGCCCGTCAAGCCTGGAAGGGGGAGCTTCCTTTGCCAGCCTTCTCTACTTCAGCTTCAGGGAGCCTCAGGACCCCAGCACTAAAGGAACAGGATCTGACTCCTTCCTCCACTGTGGAGACGGGGAGACTGACCCAGGGGGCCAAGGGGGGCCCTGCATGAGGCTCTCTCTCCCCGCAGGCCTTGGCCTCCCTAACCACAGCTCCATCTGCAGGGACAGAAGGACATGGCCTGGAGACTGACACCACTTCTGCTGCTGCTGCTGGCCTGGGTAGCCTCCATGTGCAGTGCCCGGAAAAGGACAGACCTGCTCAACGTCTGCATGGATGCCAAGCATCACAAGACAAAGCCAGGCCCCGAGGACAAGCTGCATGACCAGGTGTGGCTGGAGTGTGGTTCGAGCTGGGGACGGGGCTGGTTCCAATGGGGAATAGAAGGTCAGGGTGGCAGGGGAAGGGCTGACTGATCAGATCCCCCCACATCCTGAGTTACCGCTGTGGGAGGAGATGAAGCTAGGGCGGGGGGTATTGGCTGAGGTGATTTAGGGGTGTCCTCTTCAGAGGATACCATGGCAGCAGTGACATATGATCACTTGTTGAGCACTTACTAGGTGTTGGGTTTTCTACACGTGATTTCACATTCCCAGTGGTCGTTTGATGTAGGAGATAATGTTCTCCCCCAATAGAACCCAAATGAGGAAACGGGCCCAGAGAAGCAGAAGGACACACAGAAGATCTGGGCATTAGCAGCCCCTATGGTGTGGGGGTAGGACTGGGTTGGGCACTCCCAGCATTCTAGAGGGTAAGAGACTGTCAGGGAGGGTGGTTCTTACTACCTTCACCATGTGCCGGTCCATGAAGCATCAGGGGTAGAAGACAAGGGCTCTTACGGCTGTGACATAGGGCACAGATGTGGCATGTTCACTCACTCGATATGAGTGGATGCCAGTCAGTGGTAACTCTATTCAGACTCCACATCTCCTTTTTCTGAAATAAAATTCAAAGCTAATAGGACCTATTTGCACATTTAACTTTAAAAAATCAGCATGACTATCTGTAACACAAAAGAGAACAAAGAAAGCAATTTATAATAAAATGTATTTCCATATGTTACTTCTCTAATGATTACATTAGAAATCACTATCAAATAGTTTTTTGTTTTTAAGTTAGTGCTTTATTATTTTTTTTAATCTTTATTTATTTTTGAGAGAGAGGGATATAGAATGTGAAAGGGGAAAGGACAGAGAGGGAGACACATAGTGTGAAGCAGGCTCCAGGCTCTGAGCTGTCAGCACAGAGCCCAATGTGGGGCTTGAACCCGCAAACCACGAGATCATGACCTGAGCCAGTTGGACGCTTAACTGACTGAGCCACCCAGGCGCCCTGCATGTTTGCTTTTATTTGCCAAATCACTAGGAATGGGGCAGCTACCAAAGAAGCTCGATACAGGTATATTCTGTTGACAACTAAAATGCTATAAGGTATCCTAAGCAGTGTTGCCATTGATGACATACTTTTCTAAAATAGTGAATAATTCTAGTAAAGCCAAACACATAGCATGGCCTTCCTTTTCATAGTATTTACAGTCCTGAAAAAGCCAGTCTATATTAAAAACTTGCTAAAATATGGTGCATCTATATGTAAGATGGAGTTGAGTTTAGATTTGGGAAATCATAAATAGGTCTTTCATTTATTTTTTTCAGCAAATATTTTCATGGGCCTGCCATGTGTCTGGCACTAGACTCGCCTCTGGGGACACAGGCCTTAATACTTGCGAAGAAGTAACTTACTCAACATATATTACTGCATAGGTCATTCTCTTCCTCCTTTGCTCAAAATGTCACTTTCCAGTGAGGCTTTTCACAACCACCTTCTTTAAAATTCCAACAATCAACCCATACTCCACATCCCTATTCCCTGCTGTAATTTTCTCCATGTAATTGATCATATCCTGACACTGTATTTTGTTCTCTTTTAGTTTCTTACTGTCTGTCTCCACTGATCAGGATGTAAGTTCCACGAATACATATTTCTGTTTTGTTTTCTATCATATTCTCAGCATCTAGAACAGTGACTGGCATAGAAATAGGTACTCAGTAATTATTTTTTAATGAATAAATAAATCAAAGAGCTTTCTATAAAATATGAAGGTCTGCATAAATGATAGCTAATGACAGGGCTTCTCTCTGGCTCCCACAACCCCTGATCACACTGTTGTAACTAAGTCTCCCCCAAGATGCGAGTTTCTGGAGACCAAGGACAGAGGGTCTTCACAGTAAACTTTCCTAGGACAACTCACCTGAGGCAGGAGAACAAGAATCAAATAGGGAGAGGCTGAAGGTTGTGGTGTGGGAGGCATGTGGTCCAGGGTCTTCTCTGCCCAGTGCACCCCCTGGAAGAAGAACGCCTGCTGCTCACTCAACACCAGCCAGGAGCTGCATCAGGACCCCTCCCTCCTGTATAACTTTAACCTGGACCACTGTGGCAAGATGGAGCCCTCCTGCAGGCGCCACTTCGTTCAGGACAACTGTCTGTATGAGTGCTCACCCAATCTGGGGCCCTGGATCCAGGAGGTACAGGCCTCTCCCTCACCCCAGCCCAGCAGGCTGCCATCCTGCCAGGTCAAGTCTGTGGCTGCCAGCACCCCTGGCTGAGAGGAGCCCTCCCTTCCCCCGCCCTCCTAGGTGAAGCAGAGCTGGCGCAAGGAACGCTTCCTGGATGTGCCCTTATGCAAAGAGGACTGTCAGCAATGGTGGGAAGACTGCCGCACCTCCCACACCTGTAAGAACAACTGGCACAGGGGCTGGAACTGGAGCTCAGGTGAGGGCCTGGGGGTGCGGAGATGCAGGTGGGGTCTGAGGGTCTGGGGTTGGGTGAGGATTTCCGGAGGGGGGGGTGGCCAGAAATGAGCTCTGAGCCCAGGGGCTGAATGTGTGTGTCCACCCTCTCTCCCCATGCAGGATTTAACAAGTGTCCGGCTGGAGCCACCTGCCGCACATTTGAGTCCTACTTTCCCTCGCCCGCAGCCCTGTGTGAGGGCATCTGGAGTCACTCCTACAAACTCAGCAACTACAGTCGAGGGAGCGGCCGCTGCATCCAGATGTGGTTTGACCCGGCCCAGGGCAACCCCAACGAGGAGGTGGCGAGGTTCTATGCCTTGGCCATGAGTGCTGGGACCCTGCCCCATGGGGTGGAGCTTCTCCTGCTCAGCCTGGTCCTGATGCTGCAACTCTGGCTCCTACGCTGAGTCCAGCCCTACTCAGATGTCTTTTCTGCATGTCCCCAGTTTTGATGACCAAGCTTGGCTCAGCATAGCTCTCACAAATGAGGGAGCCCTAAGCATGCCTCCATCCATTATCCATCCTTCTGTCATCCAGCTCCTGCTCCCATAGTGGGCCTTGGGCTTTCTCTGACAGCCAATTCAAATAAACAGACAAACCTATTCTTGTCTAATGGGTGATTTTGGTTTGAATGAGTAGAGAACAGCTTCCATAGCTTTTGGATTCCTTCAGATGAGAGAAATGAGATCTGGGTTTGAATACTAGCTCTGCTACTGACTATGGAAAGTGAAGCAGTTGCTTGTCTACTTTAAAGCTTACCTTCTTCCTCAATAAAATGGGCATAATGAAACTTCTTTCCTTTAGGGTTGTGAAATACAAAGGAGATGTTGCCTAAAAAGCATGTGAACCCAGTGTCTGCACAATTAATAGCCCTCAAGGATCCTGTTGCTCTTGTAGCCAAAAAGGAGAGCTAGCTCCAGAACTGTGTTACTTATCTTATACTGGTCCCCAAATATCCCCGCTTTCTCTCAGGTCCCGTCTGCCTGGTTTTGTGGTCAACTCGGCTGGGGATGGGAGTCCAGGGAAGGCTCTGGATTCCCAGTGGGGGTGAAAAAAATTCGCACACGATGTGGATTGAAGGGACAGAGTTGAGGCTTGGAACGCTCAGATTAGGAAGACAGAAGATTGGGGAGGGCAGTCTGGGAGGTTCCCGGAAGAGGAAATGTTCAAGAGTCTTGAATTGGTTTAGCCCTGCTGCACCCCAGAGGATAGAAAAAGGCTGGAAAGTCTTGGGGGCTTCTCAGGGGCACGGCCTGGCCTCTCCTCTGGCGATTGCTAGATATGCCTATCCTGTCTCTTCACATCCCCCAGGAACTAGGCCTGAGTAGATCTCCCCCTTGCCTTTTTCCCCTGGGAACTATTTGTCTCTACATCTGCCTCCCAGAGAGGCACAGGTACTTGTCTGAGAACACCCGAGGCAGGTGGGTGATCAAGTTAGGACCAGAACTCAGGTATGAAGACTCCTAGTCCAGGTCTCTCCCCTCCCCACTGCACCAGGTTGTCCCCTTCATGGCACACTCCCCTTCCCTTATACCTAGAGCTGAGTGAAGGGGAAAGTCGGGCAGTTTGGAGGATGACTTATGGCGTTCCTGGGGGTTCTAGAGACACTGTTGGGTGTGGGGGGGTATCTCTTAGTCACTATATTTACCTAGTCTGGAAGGACCCCACAGAGCCTATTCCGTGTTCCAGGCTTCGGTCCAGCTGGGTTAAGCCAATGCATATTTGAAATAGAGGAAGGAGCTCGCCCGGGACTGACCCAGACACAGGTTCAATTGAGCAAAGTGAAAGTTCTCTCCCAGGTTAAAGGGGATCGGCTGACGGCGGCCCAGGAGTTGGCAGCAGTGAGCCGGGTTGGAGGCCTGCGCCTTTAAGGAGCCAAGGGGCGGAGGGGCGGGGCAGGAAGCGGACTCCCGGGAGACGCTGCCACCGGCTAGGTCTTTTTTGGGGGAAGGGGCGGGCCAGACCCTCTATGGGCCCCGCCCCCTTCCCGGCGACCGTGTTCCCTCCTCCCACGCCCCTGCTAAGGGCGGGCTTCTGAGCGGGGGCGTCTGAACGTACCCGATAAAGGGAGCTCCGGGTTCGGCGTTCCGCCCACAGAGGCTCAAGTTTGTTGTCTTGGAGGGAGTAACTGGGGCACGGGCGGGTACTAATAATACCCGTTCGTTCAGGCGCAGCGCCTTACAGTTTACACAGCTGTCACCTTCGTTACTCCTTAATTAATAATAAAAATAGCCGCTGTTCTGGAGCGCCTACTGGATGCCAGGCTCCGTGCCGAGAGCTTTACAAGCAGTTCCATTGAGTTCGGCCAAATAACATTGCCCCCACTTTGCAGAGCGGGAAGGCGAGGCGTGGAGAGGTGCCGTGACTTGCCTGAGGTCACTCGGCAGGTCAGCGGCTCAAGGATCGGGGGCCGGGGTAGGAGCGGCGCGGGTGCTACCCCCAGCTCCGCGGAGAGCCGCGGGGGCGGAGCGGCAGGCGGGGCGGAAGGCGAGGGGGGGGTGCGGCGGTAGAGGATGGCCATCTTAAGTGGCCGCTGAGAGTCAAGGGCCGCTTCCCCCGGGAAGGGGGCATCGGAGCGGCCCAGGAGGTGGGGGTCTGCGCGCGGCGGCTGCGGTTCTGGGGAGAAGTCGGGAGCCCAGGGGTTTGAGGGAACTTTCTTTTAGAAGGGCAGTTCGGGGTGCTGATCTCGGACTGCTGAACCCCTCAAGGCTCGGGCCTGCGGGTATGGGGGATGGTGCCAGGGAACTTGGCCGGGAGGGGGGAAGGGCTCTGCCCCGGCGGCGAGGGGCTGCCAGGGACCGTGCCCGGGGATTCGAGGACACCGGACCTTGTCAGAGTGTGTATGGGAGATCAGGTCTCGATTGAGGGGATTTCCCCCCGCGGGATTTGTCGAGGGCTGGACCCAGTGGAGTTTGAGGGTTCAGGTCTAAAATGGGCCTGGATTTCGCGGGAGTTGAGGGTCCAGGCCGCTTGGATATTGAGGACAGGGATGGGAAGAGGTTCATCTTGGATCCCTCGCGGGTTTTGGGAGCTCGACCCTTTGAGGCTGCAAGAGGAGCTGAATAGAAAGGATTTGGGGTGGAATTAGACGATTATGGGAATTGGGGGTCATATCATTGCGATTAGTAGAGACGGCTTATTCTCCGGAGATGGGACCGGGATCCAAAGTGTCCAGAAGCCAGGTGGGGGAACTTGACCTTCGTTGGGGGTGGGGATTGGGGGCTGGATCTCCAAGGGATGGTGATGGCAGGGCAGGATCATTGTGGGTTTGGGGGATCCTGCGGGAATGTGGGGGCCATCATTCCCGCGGGGAAGAGGGTGGGGGTAAGGGCGGGCCGGGCCGTGGGCCGAGCGGAGGGGGAGGGGGCGGCCGCCGGCTCTGCGCTGCTCTTCTGCCCCTCCCCCGCCGCCTCTGAACAAACTTTTCTTTCTCTTCAAGTTGAGGCCGGCGCTGCAGGCGGCGGCGGCGGCGCGGCGAACAAGGCGGCCTGCGCGGCGGAGCGCGGAGTCCCAGACCTCCAGCCCGGTCCGGTCCCCGGATCCTGAGGTCCCGGCCCCGGGCCCGCCCCCAGCCTCAGCCCCGGGCGTCCCGGGGCGGATGGCGCGGGGCGGTGTGTGCGGGCGGCGCTGAGTCCTGCGCGCGCCATGGCCTCGGCTTGCGGGGCGCCGGGCCCGGGGGGTGCGGGGCCCGGAGGCGCGCTGGGCAGCCCGGCTCCCGCCTGGTACCACCGCGACCTGAGCCGAGCTGCCGCTGAGGAGCTGCTGGCCCGGGCAGGCCGCGATGGCAGCTTCCTGGTCCGAGACAGCGAGAGCGTGGCGGGAGCTTTCGCGCTCTGCGTCCTGTGAGTGGGGCTGGGTCTCCCGGCGGGCAGGGACACGGCCTCAGGTTCCTTGCATGTGTGCGGAGGGTCTGGGACACTGGGACGCCTGCGCCCTCCACGGTGGGGGCTTTGGCTTTAAGTCGGGGGCCGAGGAAGGATGCAGGGGGCACTTCCTTCCTGCTGTGTCTGGTGACACTTTCTGGGGCATGGAGGGCAGAGTATGTGGGGTCCTGCTAGCCAGGGTGGCTGTAATGGGGAAAAATGCAAGGAGTCTCTGGCAGACCCCCTCAGGCACCCTCCAGGAAGAAGGCGCGGGGGACGGGGGAGGATGTGTGGATGTGCGTTCCAGGGTTGTGTGCGGTTCTGTTTATACACGGATTGGGTGTTAGAGCGATAGGCGTAGAGGGAGTTGGGGCCAGAGAGACTGGATGCCCAGCAGCTTCCTTAGGGGTCCTTTCTGTGGCTCTACGACTGAAGTTGGGACCTGCCTGGCCATAGATGTGTAGGGCTGGGGGAGCAGAGTGGTGGTGAGAAGGGATGTGAGGCTATATAGGGCTGTGTCATTATTTCATCAATCAATGGCACGTTCATGTGCCCTGGCTCTGGGCCCCAGTCCTGAGCATCCTGGCTGCCCTAGCCCTAAGCTATGTGTGCTGCCAGACTTGGCAGCTCTCTGAACGGATCTCATCCTGTGCCTGTACCCATCAGCTGTGTGTGGCAGTGGTGCTGGGTGAGTTTGGTGGGTTTGGAGTCTTCTCCCTGAGCTGTCTCCTTCGCCTGGTGGTCTGATACTAGGTGGGCTCCTGTGGGCCTTGTTAGGATCTGGTAATATTCCTCAGCCTTGTGAACCTTCCTAACCCCCCATCGTTCTGTCCCTTACCTCTCTGTTCTCATTTCTTTGAGGGTACGTTGGCATAGACCAGTGGTTCTCAATTGGGGTTTATTTTACCCCTCAGGGACACTTGGCAATGTTTGGAGACACATTTGGTTGTCATAAGTGGGATATAGTGCTACTGGCATCTAGTGGGTAAAAGCCAGTGATGCCACTAAACATCCTAACGTGCATAAGATAGTCTCTCACAACAAAGAATTATGCCATCCAAAATGTTAGTAGTGTTGGCACTGAGAAACCCTGGCCTGGACAGTGGACCTGAAGAGGAAGGGGTCCCCTAAATCTTAGCTTATTTCTCACTCTGACACCCAGGAGGAGAGACTAACAAGGGACAGCTTCGGGAGATGAATATCACAGAGTCCTGCCTCCCAGCCCCCTCTGAGGCATACCCCCTAATTAGAGAGGGGAGGGAGGCAGGTGCTGGGTCAGCTGTTGAGTGGGAGGGGAACAGCTGGGCCTGTTTCTGGGGGAGGAACATTATTGTCCCAGGAGGGGAGAGTCCTGACTCCATTGCCAGGGGAGGAGATGGGTGGAGTGAGGGTCTGTCTGTGTCAGGGACTTTAGCTTTGCCAGCTGGCTCCTTCCTGCATCTCAACAGCCTGGGGATGGGAAGAGGGGTCAGAAATGGGATAGAAGCCTGGAGGTAGGTGATGAGAAACATCCTTGCTTACCTGTACATGGGTAACACTTCCAGACACACCCCTGCCCCAACAGGCACAGGCAATCTGACAAGCGGGCCAGGATACAGGTACTAGGCTCTACCCTGGCGTTCAGTCCCAACTCTGCCTTTTACTTGTTCTGTGATCTTAGGCAAATCACTTTTTCCTCTTTGAGCCTCTTCTGGGGAATGGGGTTGATGCTCATATCTCTATCAAAACGTGAGAATTAAAGGAGATCACATCTGTAGGGTGTTCAGTACCCAGCCTATCATTGCAGACAGGGCTCAGTTCATGGGATGCTATTGTTGTTATATATACAGACCCACAGTCCACAAACCAGTCCACAAACAGACACCTGCACAGCATGTTGCCCTATCAGCAGCCAGAGGAGCGCCCAAAGGAGGCTTATTTGAGGGGAAGGATGGACTGTGGCCAAGGAGCAGGGTCTCCTCAAACAGGCATTTGGTCCTCTGGTGCCAGTGCCCGTCTACTGCCCAGCACATACACGGGCCCGGGTGGCTCCCTTGAGCAAACCTACCTGAGGTGTGGTTGCAAGAAAGTCTTTCACCCCCACCCAGTGTGGCCTGTGCTGCCCAGGCCTGGCTCAGCTGTCACCTGTTCAGCTGTTGATGCCATCTGTCAGTCAGTACCCCTCTTGCCCCTCCTCAGTCCAGGGCTCTTACAGGGCTGGGTCTTCCATAGGGGGACCCCTTGGGTCATCCCAATTTCCTGGCATCTGGGAAAGCGGGGCAGAAGCTGGGATGCTCTCATACTCCCTAGCAAAAATGGCCCTTGACACATCTGGCCCCAGCAGAGCCAGACACCCACATAAACACAGAAAGCAGGCACACACGTGTGTTAGCACATCGCCTATGCATGCAAACAAGAGGGTACCAGGCTTCTGAGGACTCTTACTCTGGCGGGGGGCCAGAGCTCGTACCATAGCCCAGAGGGGCTGTTTAGACAGCTGTGGAGGCCACAAAAGAGCTGCCTGTTGCTCCCGGGCCCTGTGGTGGGTGTGGAGCCTATGAAGGTCTGGGGGGGGGGGGGTTTGCCAGTCATTCCTGCTCTTGCTGGCAACACTAGCAGGCTAGAAGTACACTGGCTTCATCGTTAACACTGTATGGACTGAGCAAGGGATTTTAGGAAAATGAGGCCGAGCTGGCTGAGGGCTGAGCCTGGTGGCAGGAGGAAAGGCTTGGGCTCAGACTCCAGCCTAGGGGGTGACAGATTCTGATCCCTGCTTCATCATCAGGTATCAGAAGCATGTGCATACATACAGAATACTACCTGATGGAGAAGACTTCCTGGCTGTGCAGGTAGGAGCTTGGTCCCTGACCC